GCCTTTTTCATTTCCCAGTGCTTGATGTCCCCTGGGACCCCTCAGCTTTGTTCCAGTGTCTGGCTCCATGCTCATCCTGTCTGGGTCAGTGTTGTGACACTGTCCCTTGCGTGAGCAATCCAGGCTGTGCTACAGCAGGAGCCACGGGAATGTCCCTTTTTTCGGGAAGGGTTATCTGGTGGCACCATCTCCAATTTTGGTTCCCTGTCCCGGTCCCCGCTGCTCCTCCTCCTCCCACCTCGTGCCTCGGGGCACAAAATCTTTGAAAAGGCAAGTGGCAGCATAGATATTGTAATGAGAAAGTTGAAATCATTTGGTAAACTGCTCTGTGCAAATGTTGCTTTTGTGATGCATTATCTTCAAAACATCTGCTTTTCTCCATCTGTATTGGTCTTTCCAAAGTCATGGCTTTCAGCAGTTAATAGCAAGAAATATAGGATGAGCAAGCAAATATGTTTAGGGCTTGTATTATGAAGACAACACACAAATAGAAAGAGATTCATCTTTTCGTAATGCCCCTTTTATAAAAGGCAATAAAAATACAGTGCCTTGTAAAAGGATAAACAGGCTGAATCCGAGCTGCTGCTGCAGGGCTGGGGACGAGACAAGTGAGGGGAACCAAATTAATGCATAAAAAAGTAAAAGAAAACTCAACCTCCAGCTACATTATATGCCAAATGATCTGCCAGTGGGGAAAGATATATCTTAATAGGGTTTTTTGAAACAAGATGAATACTGTATATGGTGCATTATAAGCCACACTGTGATCTGAATCTTAATCAACATGGGGAAATATAAATCTGAAAATAATAAAGATAAAATCAATATTGATGGTTAGAAGTAAAAGTGCTATATTTGCCGTAGTAAACAGTTTTAAGGTCCCAGGGAAAAAATTGTTCTAGAAAACCTATAGCAATTTACTATAGTTTCAATAGCTGGCACAGCCCCAGCCTATTTTGGTGGCATTTATATTGTCTCTATAGAAAAAGTTTTTTTTTAAAAGAAAAAAAAATCATCATCATCAAGGGACAAAAGCACAATGCTGCTGCCTGTGCTGGAAGTGAGTTCCTCTTTCAGCGGCGCCGGCGGAGGCAATGCTGGTGTTCCAGTTAAAGCAGAGTAAAGCTTTTCTGCATGGGCAGCATGCACGGGATGACAGCTCTAGTGCTGGCTGCTGTAAGTGTTGGTATTTAGAGGCAAGACCCCTTGCTGCTAATTCAAAGGTCACTTTGCATTGTGGTGACAGCATATTGTGGCGCTGGGGTCATGTGCATGAAACCACTGTTCCTTAGGGTTGTGCACGAGGCTATGTGGTAGCTGAAGGCCTCTCCACAGGCACTGGCGGGAGCCTGCAGTGGGGAGTCTCTCTGCTGAACGCTGCAGTGCCGTCCCCTGGCTGGGTAATGCCGATGCATCGTTTACTTCCTACGGGTACCCATGTCTTAAGTGAGTTTTAATTAGTCTGTGGCTTTGCACTGATTCTCTGCATGGACTGATCTTTGTGCTGGATAAACAGTTGATGATCTCATTCCCGTTTTTGGATAATGAACAAGGGCACTGAAATATTTCCATTCTGCTTAGCTGTCATTTAGCGGAATAAGCCACTTACCTTGTCCTTCCCAGCGTCTCTAGTTACTAAGAATAGGGCATCAAATTCTGATGAGCTACAGAAAACCTTTTTGCATTTGAGGTTTTGCTTTAAATCTTGTTTTCCTGTCCTCTGCCCAGGTGACAAATCACTTTAATGATAATTTCAGTAACTTATGCTTAACCTTCTTGTCATCTCTTTAATACTGTAAATGAAACGCGCTCAAGTCTTACCTGTGCTGCCCAGCAATACGAATGTGGGTGCCTGACTTGGTGCTGTCCATGTTAATGTGAAAACTGAGGCCCATCAGCGCTCCTGACAGAAGCGCAGCTTTACACGTTGGTTGGTTGCTCCAAAGGGATGTTTTCAGTAGGAAGGAACCACAATGGACACTTTTTGTGTCGCTTTCCAGCTCTAAAATAGCAGAAGGGAGTGTAACGTTCGCTCGGCTTCCCGATCCTGGTCGCTTCGGTTTTCATTTCCCCTTCAGTAACCCTTCTGTGTTGCGTGGAAAGCCTTGCAGCAATGGTGTGACATGGCTTTTGCGTTCCAAAGAACTCAGTATTATCTGACTGTGATGATCAAACACATGTTTTGCCTCAAAGGGCTCTGACTTGAAATCTTTTTTTTAGGGGAACAGCTGTAGCTTACAAGAGCTGGGCAAACCAACATAAATGCGGGGCCGGATCCGTCAGCCAGGGGAAACCTCTGCTGCGGCCTGAGCGCCTGCAGGATTTTTGCCGTCTGGGATGCTGAGCCTAGAAGAAAGCAATTTCTTTGGGATAACGACGCTGCTTTTGTTTGCATTTGCCCATGCCAGTTCTCAGCCTTAGCTGAGCTCACCCTGCAAGTCATCAGAGATGAGATGGAGACCAAGGTAGCCTTTGGGAAATTACCTGGCCGTTAAGGGCTGGCTCAGATCTGAGCAAGTGTTGGGGCAGGTACAAGTTGGGTCGCAGGCTCATCTAGGCGGTCTGAAAGGTAGGTGGAGCAGGGATGCTGTAGCTGTGTCTGTTGTCTCTCGGCACCTGCGGCGGTGGAGAAACCAGAGGAGCGTCTCCACCACGCAGAAGTTAGCCTTTTGTTGCTGTTGGTTGAGCCGTTAGCTGTAAATTCAAGGAATCCTTAGGGTAACTCTTACTAAGCTAGTCATCCCAGCTTTTCCTGATTTTTTCCAAGCACATGTGCATCCCCTGCACAATCTGATTGCTGCTGTCTTATGGGAAAAAGAGTGCAAAATGAAACTGGGGTTTTGAGAGCTTTCAGGGCTGGCCAAGCTGTTCAGCCTCCTTGGAGCCAGGCTGACAAGCAGACCTCGTCACAGGTTGTCTTTGTGCCCATATTTTATCAGGCCTCCCTGTTTCAGCAGTAAAAGTAGCTGGCAGGAGACTTGGGGTTTATTCTCTGCGAAAGGTTGAGAGCTACTTGGGGGCAATGGTGTCCTCTGCATTTAATTATTATTTCTTAAAAGCCTAGGATATGTGGTCCCCTGTGGAGATATGAAGGTTCAGTATTGATGGTCATAAACCATGCCAGAAGGAAAAATGTGGGCTGCTTGCTGCTACAGAATGGACTTTAAATCAACAGCCGAAGCAGTATCGGTTCATAAAACTAGGGTTTTTTTAGCCTTGAGGACAGAGGCGCTTTAAATCCCAGCCTTCAGGTTCGCTGATCTGCTAGAGAACAGACATAAAACTTCAGTGGGAAGCACCTGAAATCAGCAAAAGGTTTTTGTGCCAAGAGTACTCAAGGCAGCTCTTTTGGTTTTGCTTGTTGCTTATAATGTTTCCGTATATTTTAATGATCTCGGCAGCCGGAGAAAAAGCTTATGGCCCAGACGCTGCAGAAGGGGAATAACCGAGCTTATCGCGGAGGCGATAACCAGGCTTAAGACATTGTTTGCAGTGGATATGGCAAATGAAGCATTTGAGGTGGAAAGCTGGTTCCTTGTCAGGCGTGGTAGGACATCACTGTCGGTGGGTTGAATTCTTTCACTCTTTTACATGCTGCACCAGATCTTAATTCCCATTAAGGCCCCTTTGCAGCGCTCAGTGGCCTGTGTAGCGCTATTCCGGCTGAGGGGATGTTT